CACTGATTAATGCTGGTTCCTTTTCCCAAAAGAGGAGTTGACGTCAGGCAGGCGGCCGGTCATAAAAACAAATAGCCAAAATTATTACAACATGTAAGGCAGACCCTGGCTATAGCTGGGAAATTGCCAGGTAGAAGAACTCTATGCATCTTCAGAATAATAATTTCGTCAAATTCTTAATAGAACACTATCCAGTATCCTCCATTTCAGTTGAGATCCTTTTGTGCGAAATAAGTTACTGCAATTTCTTTAGAATAAAGTCGATGTCGTTTCAAGTTATACATTAAGTTGTATTGAAACAAAGCACTTGAATAATTGAATAAAAAAAATATAGTTTCATAAAATTATTCAGAAATCTATTAATGAAGTAACATAGTTTATTTTTAAATTCGTTCATGATAGCTTCAAGGCCCAAACCAAATCTAATTTGAACATGGAAAAGAGTGTAACTTTGAAAAATTATATTAAATAAAATCATCACAAAGTATGCCTTTTGAAAACAAATATTTCAACGGTATAAAAATTTTTATGAAACAATATAAGTATGTTAATAAAGATTATTTTACTATAAGCAATAGACATGTAATTAATATTTTTTAAGCATATGAATGAAAAGAAAGCTACAAGGAAAATATGTATCAAATCATATGAAATCCCTGTATTACTCATAAGTATTTCACATGCAATATTATGAAGATAGTATTGTGTATCAAAATAAAACAAATGAAGTAAACGCGTTTTGTTATTATTAAAAAGTTGCATATTATAACGTTATTAAAACTGAACCAATAAATTCAAACAAAGATTTCTCTTTATAGTATTTTAAATCACTCCAGATAGTACGTTATTTATGATCAACGTATTAATAGTTCCCGCCGTTTTTGATATTGAAAGATTAATGTAACGTTCCACATATTAAATTGAAAAATTATACATATGTACCTTTTCTTTTATTATTATTCATTGTACTAATATTTTACATATCAAAACATTTAATTTTTAAAACTCCAAAAATACGTGTTCTCTTATTAGGTTTGGGCACATAATAATCGTATTTTACAATCTTTACTGAATTAAGTCAAGGTGACACGAATTGTGAATGAAATTTAAAAATGATGAAAAAGCAGCTTTTTGAAGCTTCACCTTCATTAGTTAGTTTGAGTCGAACAAATTTAAGCTATTTATAACAAATATTTATAATTTCTTGATTTGGAATGAGGTCAGCTATGAACGGTATTATTATTTATTTTCTTTTCATGAAAGCATTTGAAACTGTTATTTAATGTGTATTTTGTATCGACAATATCACTCATTTGTAATGAGCATAACTAGTATAACTAGTAGCGCCATCTAGCGTAAAGTATGTAAGTCTGTGGGTATGCTCGTTTTTTAAAATATAGATCATCAGTTCTTGACTGTCAATCAAGCGTTTAATTTATAAGATAAACTAACATTAATATTTTATAATTATCAACCAGCCGACTTTAGCTGAGTAATAATTGTTAACTCTATTTTTACAATCCATTCATTAGGATAGGTAATTTTTTTTTCTTATTTAATAAAGTAATTTCTTTCCATGCCTTTCAAAGACTTTGGTTTGCACAAAATAATCTTCAAGCGTTTTATAAAAGGCAAACAAGTTGGGTACATTTTTTATTCACGAGCTAGCATATGATAAAAGTTTTTAAAATAATCTTAACCCATTTAGACCTACCGTCTCACATACGATACACCAAAAGTAATAAACTATTTTTAAGTTCCGTCGATAAGAATTTGTTTTTATTTGGAACCCATGTGAAGTGCAAGGTCTGTGCAACATTCCTAGAAGAGTTTATTTGTTATAGTCGAATACACAAGTTGACTACATACATGGTTTGTTAGGGATTTGTGCATTGCGATCATATGATGGCATCAAAACGGTAAGAAATGCTATATTTTTTCAAATTATCTCATATTTATAACAATTTATAACTAGAATACAAGTTAAAGCGTAAATTGAGTGATTTAGTTTTATTATTTCTTGGAAATTTTTGCATGCTTTTTACTCGTAAACTATAGTGTATCGTATTTGATACAGTAGGTAAATACGCATAATATATTTCTTATTTCAGACTTACATTTAATGAAATTGTCATTCGGTTAGAAGATGAAATCGAAAATAGTTTCACAGAAAATGATATTTATTTACTACCACCTGAAAATGCAAACGGGGTGTTGACTGATGTTGTTGACTGATGAAGATTTTGGAAACGAATATAACGTCGAAATCAACAACCTACCACCGAGCTTGTTGAGACCGAATGCTGAGTTGCATGGATCAAATTCAGGAGATTTTAAAAGTCAACAATCAGGTCTTGGAGTTGAAGTAGATCAAGAGCCAGATTTCTGCGAACCACTAAGCAAAACATCCAAAAAGTACAATTGGAGAAAAAAAATCTTCACCAAAGCAAAACCGACATGGAAACCTATGTTCCATGTTCCTAATCAAAGGTCGCCTATCGAATGGTTTTCTTTTTTTTTTCAGAAGATCTTTATCTATTACTCAGTACTGAGACTAATAAATACGTAGGAAGGAAAAATCTTCCCATTGATATGAAAATGGAAGAAATGAAGTGTGCTATAGGCATTTTGTTAGTAAGCGGCTACTGTCAAGTAAATAGAAGACGTATGTACTGGGAAAACACACCTGATACAAAAAATGATCTGATTGTTGATGTGTTGATCTTTCAGACAAAACATATCATCTCTTCGGACAAGTATTCGCGGTAAGAAGTGGTATATGCCACTCATTCTGCATTGTATAGACATGTCACTTCAGAACGCCTGGCTACTATACAAATATAACGGTGGTAATGTCGATATGCTGACTTTCAGGCGTTGCGTAGCTATCGCACTTATAGAATTAAATACCCTTGGAAGTAAACCAGGCCGTAGCAGACCATCCTCACTAACCATGGATACGAGGTTTGATGAAAAGGGTCATTACGTCATCAAACAACCACAGAATAAACGAACAAGATGTGGCTTGTGTCATCGATCATGTCCTGCAAGATGTGTAAAGTGCAATATTGGACTTTATATTGATAGTTTTCTTACCTATCATACCAAAAAATAATGGTGTATATTTTTGTCAATAAATACTTTTTGCCTTAGATACTGGAATTTATGCTTTTATATAAGCCTACTGTATCACATAGGATACGGCCCATCTCAGACCCCCTATGGAATCGATTTTTTTTTAAATATTTTTTCATTAATAACAATGTTCGATGATAGGATAAATATAGAAAAAGTACATATTTTTCGAAAAAAATAGTTTCCGGTCTAAATGGGTTAAGCACGTAGACGACGTGCTCTTATTTCATCAAAGATCAAGATAATACAAATATATATTCAAGAGGAATGCTTTTGAAAAAATTACGTTGATTACTGAAGTTTCAAATATCTAATACACTTCCATTCTTGAAGTCCTTAGTAATAACTCTTACTGATGATAAGGAGTACAGATGTTAGGGACGATAATCTACCAGTTATTTTGATGAATTTCATGGTGTGTCTTTTCAGATACTTTCCAAAATTTTTTTAACCTAAAGTTCAATTACTGAAATCTTTCTATCTTTTTGGGATAATGTTATGTATTTTATAATTTGTAAAGAAAATTACACATATTTCGTGTTTCCTCCGATTTGTACTTTATATGATTTTCTTCTGAAACATTTCTTTTAAGATTTTATTAAATTAGGTTAATCTCTTGATAACTTTAATATCTTTTTTTAAGTCATATATACAATTGTTTTTAAGCCCCAAATTTTTTAACATTAAATCACAGTTCAATACTTTCATCCACTTACTGACATGATAGTTCGATAAATATTTCAAATTGAATTCAACTTGTATAACTGATGTATACGAATATTTTAGCTTAACATTACGATTTTATGGATAATTGCTAGGTATTGATTGCTCTGATACATTGTGACTGCAATAGCTGAGCTTTTCATTATATGCATTGAATCCCAATCATATGTATATTCATCGTAGTATTATAACAAACTTAAAGATTACAAGTAAATGATGTTATATTTTTTAATTTTAAAAAAATACATTTAAAATATAAAACAAATTAAACTTATGGAATTTTACACGTTTATATTGAATTAATAAAAAAATTCAAAGTACTAAATATGCACAATTTTTGAAAAATACCATAAATTTAAAACAATCAAACGTTTAATTTAATGGGAAGTGGTGCCATTTATTCTACCATAAATATCACGTCACTAACCTTGAGCGAATCTCTTTTACTCCAAGAAATAAATGTATTAAATGAATCCAGATCATTATAATTCATAGCCCTACTTAAATGTAAGACGAAATAGTCATTTTTTATCCCTAATGTCATAGATACGTATATTCACAAATCTTTAAAGGAGTATGTTTTAAAAGAAAGTGCATTATTTACCCTATAAATGTACTCTTTAATGTCAACATTAATTACTGACGTCACGAATGCCTATATTCCTGATTATGCTCACGGTCTCAGGCTCTTGAAGGTAAACTCGTAGACGGTATAACAAATCCTTTATTGCGAAAAGATCCAATATCTGCCTGCGTCTTGAACGAGAATGCCTTTAATTTGTATCGTCGCCTCTTCTTATACTAACCATCACTCATTATGGAGTCTAGTTGACAAGTTGAATATGGTACAAAATAGACATACTGATCTTAAAATTATACTTGATAATTCATTGAATCCGGAGTGATGCCAACAAAAATGTGCCAGAAGCGTGTTTTAATACTTAAAAAATTGCAAAAGTTAAAAACAATTACAGATAAAAGAAAAATGGCAATTCGTTTTTTGTCAAAATTTCATTAATTTTTTATATTTTAGATATTTCAAAAAAAAATTGGAAAAAGTCTAGATGAGGGAAAACATGTGAAATTGAAAATGTCAAGTATTTTTGTTCAAGTGAAGAAATTATAATAAACACATTATACTTTTATTTAAGTATGTATGTAGGAAAGGCTTTACGAGCCCAACAGGCAACATTTTCAACTAGACTGACTAGACTCTGTAGTCCGACCCATCTGTATGGGTACGCAGGTGATACCTGATAATTTTAACCATCCATAATAATTGTTAACTTCGTAAATAAAAGGTATTAGATCCGATATAATAATCGTAGGATATGTTTATCATAAGAACTGGAGAAGAACAGCCAAGGATCGTCGCGCATGGCAGTCTATTGTGGAAGAGGTCAAGACCCACAAAGGGTTGTAGCGCCGAAGAAAGTAAGTAAGTAAGTATGTATATCATAAACAATATTGAGAAAAGGTCTGAAAAATATTATTTTTCACTAACTAAACTAAATGGCTTCTCTTATTTAATATAATATTAAAATGGAGCTCTTCGTTTATATATGCTGTATCTTTTAAAATAACGAAATACCTATTTAAAAGTTTTTATTCTCAATTTTTTTCTTGTAAGGTCTAAGCGAATAATAATTTTATTATTTCAATATCACATGCAACTTGTCACGTTTCCTCATGAAGAGATTAAAGATCCTCTCGTGAAGCAAATGTTGGAAATAAATATAGCTAGAGTCTTAACTTAGCAGAAAAACGAAATTCTTAAAATATAATGTGAACTAGTACAAGCTTTATCAATTAAAAACATGTAAAGAATAAATTTTAATACATGACGGAACACAAATGCGCTTTGTTTCATATCTCAATAAATTCATGGCGATATTAAATTCTTTCATTTATCAATATTAGGTGAGTAATAAAGTTTCGATTAAATCAATATCATAAATAATCCATTTACTTATCGAAGTGAATTTAAAAGAGTATAACAACACTATATTCAAATAGTTTTACTAAAAGAAGGTCTCTACAGAGAATAGAAAACATTAAAATATTAAATTAAAATCTTTAAATTTTTTTAAATTAATTTAAACATTAAAATATTAAATTAAATTGGAAATTCTTTAGGGAGGGATCTTTCAAGGCGACAAGTTCTTTTCATTCATTCTTCAAAGCATTGCAACATTTTATTTGGTCAATGTAGTGATTAAACTCATACAATCTCAGTAAAAGGATGTTAATTGATTGGACACAAATCCATTACTCCCGTTTTCTCCCCTTAAAGTAATGTCATTATGTCTTATCTAAATTAATAAGAGATGTTCTATGTTAGCCTGCCTTTATACATATAAATATTATAAAAAGCCAGTACGTTTATTCATTTATATCTTTGTCAATATGTTCGTAAATAATATTTGGTTCAATAAAATAGACTTTCTTTTCGTAAAGTCATTATTACTCGTATTAGTATTAGCTAGTACATACAATAATTTCTTACGTCCATGTTCTTGAAGTGTGTTATCAATTACATTTTTACCATATGTTAATAATACTTTTTTTCTTCTTAATAAAAAATATTTATTTAAAATACACAGTTATAATTCAACCATCAACGATATTATTTCCACAGTTGGACATAATTCTTGCCTCTTTTGAACGAGACAAAGAAATTTCTTTTTGACATTATATAAGTTTGAATCTTTGGAACTGTTAATGTTTTTATAAATATTAGAGAGAAATTGACGAAAATTGTTAATTGACAATGACATATGAGTAATGTTCCTATGCAGTAGTAAGTTCCTCAACAAAGACAGCTGAAAATACTCCTTATGAAATGTAATAATGGAATATTGTGTTGATAATATGTACGAAACTACATATTTTGTCAGGCATATATTGCGAAACATTCCTAGGTAGACTTTTTTAGTGATAAAAATATAATAAATCATTGAAGTATGGACATTTTCATAATATATAAAAACATAGTGTCAGATAAATGGTGCAATGCGAAAATGATGCATTTAAGTTATGTAATTTATTCAAAAATTATTACATTGACTTCGTATAGATTTAGTTTTACAAATTGACGCTCATTAGTATAACTCACTTAGATAAAATTATAAGACCATTACTGAAATCAGAGGTCTTAACATACATACTAATAGTGAGTAATAAATCAATTCACTGACCTCTACGTACTGTCCGAAGATGGCCATCATTTTATCGTCGTAATGTGTTGCGAGGGCCCGCAGCAGGTCGCAGGCGGCGCGGCGTCTGGTCGCAACGTCTGAACCTTCGATATCACGCCACACATACTCCTCGGGATTATCTTCAAACAACTCGATATCTGATTCTGGAAAAAATACATATATACATTCATTATCTTCAAAGGAAACGTATAGAAATCCGTCCGCTTTAAGTACTGGCAGCTCATTCCCTGTTGGACATTATATATTGTACATTATATATTCTGTTTAATAAGTATAATGAAATATCTGATTTGTGGTATATCGTAGGCAATAGTGCAAATCCGCAAATTAAACATTAAATTATAACTAAATGTCGAAAAATTACCTTAAAAGTCATTACTGTGGAAAATATTTCAAATTAAATTTTCTTGTGATAATCTGCTTCCAATGTACATAAGCGGAATTATCCAATGGTAAATACGCGGATATATCTGTATCAATGTATACAAATTTATCCTATCAAAGCTTGTTATTTAATGTAACAATGTGAATTTGCCATAAGTTACCAATCTCATTTCTTTACTATTTATACCAACACAGAATATTTTATATAATTTAATAACTAAATTTCCCATATATACATATGTACAGCTGGGTTTACACATGAGTTTTCGCAAAATATTCCAATCTCTTACCATCGGGTCGTTAAGTTAGCTTCAACTTTAGTAATTACGTTTATTACTAAGGAACTAATTTGAATTCATTTGGAGATTGGTGTAAAAAAATATCTTCATTTTACACACTGATAAAATATTATTCACGCCCAAACAAAACGGATGGTTATGGATGGTTCTGATACATATTAAATGTTAGAAATATACTTTAATTAACCGTTGACAATTGTTATTAAATAATTAATTATAAGTTATGTTTAAATTCCACGTAATTTCACGAGGCGATGAAAACTTTACGGACTTTTTCGCGAAGTATAATGCGAAGAAATCCCAAGCGTTTTGGTTAATATTTTTTAATAGTTACATAAAAAAAACACTCAGACTTACAATATTGCACTTGAGTATATAAAGGTATTATAAAGTTTTTATTTTACAAAAAGTATCACGTATATTATTCCTACTTGAAGAGATCTGAATAAATTTTAAGACATTATTACTTTATGATTATGAAAAAATAGGACCCAACAATCCTGACATGACTGATAAATATAAAGAATGGTTAAATAAGAAATAAGCACCTCGTGCCAGACATTAAAGAGACCAGGTCCATTTGAAGTGTCTAATTCTATTCATACAATGATAACATTTTCATATAACACCTTCACCTCTAACACAATTTACAACAGAAAATTCTTCTTCAAAGCGTATGAGATGTCTTCACGAGATCTGGCTGGTGACTACTGGTGTTGACTACTGACGAATGGTGATTACGACTGACTGACTACTGACGACTGGTGATGACGACTGACTGACTACTGACGACTGGTGATGACGACTGACTGACTGACTACTGACGACTGGTGATGACGACTGACTATTCGACTCACAGCGGCCGTATTTTATATACGTTGCGCGCGCGCACCTAGTACCGCTGTGAGCCAGCGCGGATGCCCCGCCCCCCGCCAAGTGACCCTACCGCCGTTCGTTTATTGGTCAATAGGTTTATCTTAAGTTTTACAATAGTATACTGCGCTCTTGCAAGAGACGCTCATTAGGGATTTTTATTTACACGTGTTGCGCACCTGCAAGAGTCGCTTTCCTTTTATTAATTATACAATACAAATATTAGCCTAATTCCTTATTTCTTACATTTCTTATCTCTTAAATCTATTATTAACTAAACATCAGTTTCGTCGCCGCCAGTAACAGTATATTGTGAAAGTTATGAATTAAATAACTCTACCAAAATTCTTATTTTCCTCATGTCTAAAATGAGATTCTTTACATACCCTCTTTAACTTTAGTTGTAGCTAGATATATTTTATTAAATAAAATAGAAATATTTTTGTGTAAGAATTCAGTATTCGACAGCTTCTTCTGACTTATTACATTTATACACCTGTCTAGAACATTTTAAGGACCTAACAGGTTTATAAAGAATTTGTCAAAAATATCTAATTGAATTGACATGAATGACTGTTTACGAAGTTATTAAGATTTTAAATTATTATTTATTTAATACTTACTCATATATTCCATCAATATTTTTTACCAATTTAAGTAAAAGTAAGAAGCTTCTTAAGCGGTTCGATCTGATAAATTTATTTTCTTTTCAAATAGCATTTTTGAAAATAATATGAAAAATTTTTCGATATTTAAAGAAATAACTCAAAATTAGTACCTGGCACTTTGTAATCCATGTCAGAAATTAGTAAAAAAAAAACTGTTATTATTTTCACTTTCGATTAAGCTATTGTTTTTAAAAATAAGAGCTATCTTACATGCTCTGAGCTCATTTTCGTTTCACAATTCACTGACGAATCGTATAAAATATTGATTTTTTATTTTTTATGCAATCTAGTTCAACGGTAGGTTCTTTGACAACGTTTTGCGAGCCTTGAATACAATGGTTCACACTCAATCGTGCGTACACCTTCATACGTACATACAGCTACAAAACTCTTTTTCATTTTTTATGTTAAAAGAATAAATAAATTTAAGAATAAATTTTCAAGTAATCAAATTATATAGAATTATACTATAAAGACTAAAGAGTCTCTTTAACATTAAGGGGATTACTATGCACATATTAAACTAAGTATTATTTAAAACTTTAACTTCTGTAGTCTAGAGATAGGGTAGAAATAACGTTATTAAATAACAAATATTTATTATTATATATTACAGTATATTGCGAAAGTTATGAATAAAATAACTCTACTTAAATTGCTATTTTCCTCATAAATAAAATGAGATTCGTCACTATCTTTAATTTTAGATATATATAATATTTTATTAAATTATATATAAATATTTTGTCGTAAGAATTCATTATTCGACAGCTTCTTCTCACATGTTATTTTTATACACTTGTCTCGAACATATTAAAGACTTGCTAGGTTGATAAAAAAATTGTCAAAAATATCTAATTGAATTGACATGAGTGTCTGTTTACGAAGTTATTAAGCTTTCAAACACTAAATGTGTATAAATATTAATATTTTTATTCCCTACTTGTATACGATACTGTTTACTATTTAATTTGTACATTAATTTATTCAGCATTTCGATTAGTTTCATAAGTTTTACAAGAACGATCAGATTAAGTATTTAATCAATTTAATATTAAATACATACAGTACAGTAGTACAGTACGGGTACAGCAATATTCTAATTGGAAAATCTTGACTGGATTAAAATAACTATAAGATTTTACTCGTTTAACGAAAACGATAATTTGTCACAGACTTAAATTATAGCCGAAAATTAAATATTTTAAGTGCAATTAAAAATTATGACTATATTGAAGTTAATAAACTTATAAGGATTCTGAAATTAAAAGTAATTAACACCTTTATTTTAATTAAATAAATAGACCTTGTATACGAGGAATTAAAAATGTATAGAAAATGATTATACATTTTAAAACCGTTCGTGTTCGTGTTCTTCTTATAAATTAATATAATATTAAATCCATTCAGCAGTGGCAGTCTACACACTGAACAGTTATATGTACATGAAAGCCGCAAGCAAACCATTACGCTCCTGACACGTAAGGCTATTTATATATTACTAGCTTTCCGCCCGCGGCTTTGCCCGCGTGGAGTTCGGTTGTATCGCGTTTCCAAGGAACTACTTCAAAAGTCTGCGATAAAACCTATTCTGTTCTTTTTCAAGGTCAACTCTATCTTTGTACCAAATTTCATTAAAATCAGTTTAGTGGTTTAGGCGTGAAAGCGTAACAGACAGTCAGACAGACAGAGTTACTTTCGCATTTATAATATTAGTAATACTTTCAAGTAACGTGGCGTTGAATTGAAGTAATGTACTGGGCCAAAGTAACACCATTGAACATGAGTTAACTTTGATGCCTTTTAATATATAATATGGTTTACAGAAAATAGTTAAAAAAATATAGAATAGAAAGCTTATTTATAAGACTATATTAATTAATTAGTTTTACTCTATAACAACGACATTCATGTGAAGGGGTTTTGAGACGGCCTTGTATGGGGCTTTCCCACTGTGCGGCGACGACGACCGACTGCAGCCGCGGCGATGCAGATTACCTATTCGTTTCAAGGAACTTTAACTTCAAAAGCCAATTTTTTTTAACTTGATACACCTAAAACTTCTAAATATGATGTTCCTAGGTTCAGTGGTTAAAATTTTGTATACAAAAAGTTTAGCTTCGTAGTTCCTGTTCCGTTCTGTTCGAATATCGGGAATTCTGTGTGTATTATCACCCCCACGGTGGTAAAAATAACAAACGATTTTTAATTTCAAAAACGCTAGGACAAATGTTTAAATATGTCTTATCAAGTGCTTAAATATAAAATTTCATGGTTATATCTTTTAAAATTAAGAAATCCCATACAAACTTTCAACTTCTTCATCCCCTTTTTCGCAATAAAGGGTAGCCTATGTTTTTTCTCAGGGTCTTTAGACCCTCTTTTACTTTTTACAATCTAAAGATTGTCTGTGCCAAATTTCATCAAAATCGGTTGAGAGGTTAAAGCGGGAAAGCGTAACAGACAGACAGACTTACTTTCGCATTTATAATATTAGTTGTGATTGACTTCCCCCTCGTACCCCAGTGACGCTTACATGGAGCCTACATCGCATGCTGGCTAGCTAAGCGCGATGAGCGGCAACCATGCGACTTTTTTCTAATACTTGCATTTTTAAACTCGTGATATCTTCCAAATAAAATGTCCGAATTGAATAATCAAAGAGTTATAAAAAGGTATTGAAGCCGTCTTGAATATAAAGTAATTTATTTTGATAAGGATTAATACCAAGGTACAAATAAAGATCCTTTTCAAGCGGCGGCATATAAATTAAATTTTTAGAATAAATAACCGCTTACTGTGACATAACTATAATATTTAGACATATGCTGTCTCGACACTTTTTGTAGATGATGATGAGTTTTGCAAAGTCGTAGTAAAGGATTTGGTTCTATCATAAATAGTTTTCGCAGCGCACGCGACGTAAGGAATTTTTCAGATCATTTTTTTACACCTTGGGTTACATTATTTGAGTTAGTAAGGATCCCTAATTTTTATTTAAATATAATATAGCTTATATTACTCGGGAATAATGTAGCTTTCCAAAGGTGAAAGAATTTTTGAAATCGGTTCAGTAGTTTCGGAGCCTATTCATAACAAATAAACAAACAAATCTTTCCTCTTTATTAATATAGATTCCTACATTCACTTATTATGCTTAGTTCACTGTTTACGTTTTACGGTTGTTAACAGTCAAATTATTTTATTAATATACTTAAACATCTCACTGACTGTATATTCTTTCCTATATATTTATTAAATCATATTTTACTACTAATACAGACATAGATAGAAGAATATATAGAGATTTTTTTTCAATATTCATATTAAATCAGTAATACTTTGATAGTTTGAACCTGTTAAGAATATTTAAAATTTTACTCTTGTGCCTAAATAATCATATACAAGTCAACGATACAAATAACAAGATCACTTAATATTGTTTTACTTATTTTAAGTTAACCTGATAAATCAACTCAAACATCTCAAAGACTAGTACAAACTTTGAAGCTCTTTAAAAAAATTCTCACAGAATTAAATTAATATAAAAAAGATGCAATAAATCTCCTGGATTTACGTTGGATATATTCCACCAGAAATTGATATGGTTTATCTTTTACTTCGTTTAAATTATTAAAAACTATTGAGTGGATTAGGTCCACGGCACAGCCTGAAATCTATAATAATCCTAAATTTCTAAACTCAATGGATATGTATACGCCCGATCTGTAAGGTTTTGTACCATCTCCCCTTACTTTTTGATATTTAATCAAAACATTCTGTAAAGTTTCATATGTGAATAAAGATTGTAATTTCAAATACATGCTACTATACTGCATAATTATTTAAAAAATCAGAATGTCATTTTCAACACAGCCTATTACAGCAGGAATGGTACATATTCTGTCCGAAAACAAAACAAAATTTTAAGTATAAAGATCCGCGCACACTAGTGATAAATCTACAGTTAATAAAATTTTCTCCTGGTATGACATTGAAAGAACAGTCACTATGATTATTATCTTTACAACCATCGCCATACGAGTACAAGCAATAAAACCTAAGATACTTATTGATATATTCTAGTAATATACTATTGCTTCCAATGAATAGTATGTATAAAATATTATATATATTAAGCACAGCTTCAGATTTCTATAGGAGTTTTATCCGATTTTATTTTTAAATAAAATTATATTTAAAATTATTTTAGATACGAAAACGATCTTTTTCCATGTCAACAACATCACTTAGCACAGTAATAAAAAGTTCTCAAAGAGAATTTATATTTCTTATTTCGGATATATGTACGTCCTCTTGAAAAAATTATTGTACTTAAAAAGTTTTATATTTGAGAAAGTACAATCTAAAATATAAAATTCTCGTGTCACAGTTTTCGTGCCCATACTCCTCCGAAACAACCTGACCGATTTTGATGAAATTTTTTGTGCTTATTCGGTAGCTATGAGAATCGGCCAACATCTATTTTTCATCCCCCTAAATGTTAGGGGTAGTCCACCCCTAAATTTTTTTTTTTTATTTTTTAGACAAAATTTTTAATTACTATTTTTTTATGATACAACGTACAAAAATACATACAATCCTAAATTTTCACCCTTCTACGATCAACCCTTATTTTTTAATAGCTATTTTAGTAATTTAATCATTTTTCATCTCCGGTCGATAACTGATCAATCGTCATTTAATAAGTTATCCCCGCCAGATATCTACAGGTGTCACTTCTGACCCAGTAAACAGCACGGAGTAGGGATGAGAACGAAGCCGGTCTTCTGTTTCTCTCACACAATTAGACTTCTCTCACTCCCTACACAGTTGTCGGCCATCGTTATTGTTTGTGCATCAAGTGTAGTAGTAACGTTGACAATTATTATTTTGCTAGCTCAGTGTAACTCTCATATTAACTATTAATCATTCCTAATCACTTCAAAACACGGAGATTTATGGCTTTAATAGGTAAACTCCAAAAATATAAATAAAAAAACGTAACAGATATTTCTTGATTATAGGGCGAAACGAAGTTCGCCGGGTCTTCTAGTATTATATAACTACTTAGTAATAGAAACGTAGTAATAAGAGATTCAAACAAAAAGTAATTTTTACATATACAC